AATGTATTTATATACAAATATATACAATTTATAAAATTAAACTGAAAATAATTTTTCATAGTTAAAGGAAAACTAAGGTTTAATTCACTACATAAAAAATTCAATTTCTTAGCTTCTATTTAGTGTATTTATATAAAGCGTTATGAATTAATATAATTAACATATAATTTACAACGGAACACAATATTTCAAGATTAATATGTATAGAAACACATACAATCACATTAACACATATTATGTAAGGTCTGAAACTTAAAAGAAAATAAAGTTACGAATTAAATGCGGAAGTGAATAAATAGAATTTAGGGTTTACATTCCTTAAACAATAATTTAGAATACCCAATAGGGATATGAGAATGTCATTTCTAAAAGAAATTACGAAAATTAAGAAAATAAATAAAAAGTCCATAACTAAATATTTTAGAACGACCTTCCCTAGCTTTTGAAGAAAGTTCGAGTGGTGAACTATTCACAATTCTCTTATTGATCGGGATCTTCGTCTTGGTCATCTTGATCTGAAATAGTTAATGAACAGGTGAACTATACTAGCTTAGTAAGAATATCACACTACTCACATATACAGAAACTGAAGATTGGTAAAAATCATAAAAACAACCAATGGAGCTATTAACTTAAGTAAATTTATTTATCATAAGAAAAACTATTTATTGCATATATTTATCATTATAAGATTTCTAAAATCGACCTATAGAGATAATAACTTAAATAACATTCTAACTTCATATTCAACTGAGTAAGAACCATAACTTTTTCTTTTTAGTTGTTTACTAGTATCTTTAGGGGCCCATAGGGATGTCTCACTACGCGTGAACCTATATCCAACATTATTAACAAACCGACCATTCCCATACCACGTCTGATATGAGTGCAAAAAAATATTATCCCTCAATACCCCGTCCGATATAAGGGTGAATCGGGTTGTCCCCATACCCCATTTGGTATGAGTGCTAAAAATACCACTCATTGATACCATGTCCGGTATGAGGTAATGTTCACGGTAGGGTTTTCTATGTACCCGATCCGTTTATCATTTCTCAGGATATCTAGTAAGGCTATCATTCATTAATTCACATGACCAAACAATTTTTCATTTGCATATTAATTACCAATTTCACAAATCAATCGTAAGTCACGTAAGACAAGTAATATATATATCAATGAAGCACAATTGAATCATTTAACTATTTCAGTATATCATCATGTATTTAAAGCTATAAATTCAAACAATCAGTTAAACAAGATAACAGATAAATGACTAACCGGTTTCCGGCTCCATTGGTAACCTGTAATTATTCTAAAAATTTTCTAAACTATACAAAATACCATATTAATGATTATTAAGCTTCAATTTTATAACAAATAATAAGGTGAGAGATTCTTACCTGAATCGGTGTCTGAAACATCGAATTTTCTATTGTACTTATTGACAGTCCCCAGATTTTTTGAATTTTCATGCAAAGATTAAAACACGCTTCATGTACCTAAAAATACTCTAAAAAATTCAAAATCGGTGTTAAAAAATTTTTTTAGCCAACTTTGAATTTTCGGCACGATAGCACCACTGTGCTGCGACGACGACACCGCCGCCCACGTCAGTAGTTTGTATCGGCCTGACTATTTTTGATCAGTTTTGACCGGTTTCGGGCGATTTTATACCTATCTCTGTGAGAAAACACGTTAGGGGGTCTTGGTTGGCCCAAAAAAATTAAAAAAAATATACCAGCGGCTAGTACGGCGGCTCCGCTAGCTCACTTTCGCGACTATGCATTTTTTCTTCGGTTAACCTGTGAAAAATAGAACGGTGAATACAATTGTAAAAAAATCGCATGAAACGAGAAACAGAAAGGGGTTAATCGGAGGTGATTTCGAGTTTTATCCGCGATTTTTGACTTATCCACTGTTTTTTTTAATTCGATTTGGCCATAGGAGTGCTCGGAATCAAATTCCGAGCGGATAAAAGGATTTTTACCTTCTCTAGCGGTCTGAGGTGGCTCCGGCGCGGTAACAGGCGGCTCCTTTTTCCGGTGACTAGTTCTTCTTCTCCGGCGGAAGGCTGGCAGCTAAGGTTTGAGTTCGGTATCATGCGAGATATTTATACCCGTCTCGCTTAAATATAATTCGTTCATCGTGTTTGATCTCGATCGTCTGATCACATTTAAAGAGAAAATAAATATGAACCATTCATCGCGATTTGATCTCGATCGTCCGATCGCGTTTAAATAGGGAATGAATTTGGACCGTTCATCACATTTAAACACGAACGTCCGATCGTGCCTGAGGAGGAAACAGATCCAGACCATCTAGACGCGCAGGAACACTTCCAGGTTGTCTGATCGCTGGCGCGCGGATTACCAGTGTGGCCTCTCGCGTGGTACCGAGTCAGTCGCTCTGATTCGTCGGGGCTGCTGACTAGGCAATCCTACGTAACACAATTTTTTTAATTACGTTTTGACCCTCAGTTTCTTATTTTTCTTTCAAAAACACTATATGAACCCAAATTTTCACATCTTTTTTTTAAAAATTATTTTCAATTTCATTATCAACACATTTTTTTTTTCTAATTTCACATTAAATAAAAATTTATTAATTTTAAAATTATATTTTTTAAATTTTAAAATTAATATCGGATCAAATTTCATGTCCGATTATTACATAATAAACTGTATGTAAATGTTTATGACATAAATATCTTTTGTGCAAATTCAAGTTTTTGAAAAAAAATTAACCAAAAAATCTCTTCTTCTTCTTCATAAAAGCAAAACTTTTTGAGAGAGAGAGAGAGAGAGAGTTGTATGTATTTTTTATCTGTTTCATTTTTCTTTTCACATATTACTAAATAGGTAATTTTTGTCAAATATAGTAACTAATCATAATTTTGGTTTTGAATTTTAATTAAGTGAGTAATTCTAATCAGATTAGATTTCATCATGGATAAGCCACTCGACTAAATTCAATGCAAAGAATGTGAATTATATTCTAAATTAAACGTACATATAGTTCTAACTTTTTAATCATTTTTTTTTTTAAGACATTGACTCGAAACTCATTTTTAATTATATAAGGTAGTTGCAAACTAAATAATGAGAGTTATTATTGTATCAATAAATAATTGGACTATTATTTTTTAAATAATAAATGCATATATTAATCGATTAAATGATATGCATACGCAAATCATAATATAATAAAAATAATTTCAAATAGTAATAGATATAAAAATATAATCAAATTTGAACATACAACTTATTGTAAAAGAATAAACATACTTATTATTCAGTCAAATTTATACTTTAGTTTGAATGAATATTTTCTAAAAAAGTGTAATAATAATAATAATAATAAATGGTGCAATAAAAACATGTGCATATTTTAAATTAAAATTGAAGGGAGGCTACGAGCTCCCATTAAATATTATCGCATTGTGATATTTTGACTCCTTCAAGGCCTCCACTTTGACTGCTTTCACTGCATTAGAGGACTGTGAAATCAATCAGTTAATGCCATGAAAGTCAAGACAGAGTAAAGTGAAGAGAAAGCTTCAACATGAATTTAGAAATTGGAAACGCAACATAACACTGTTTGTTTTAATTATTAATATTTTATAAAATAATTTATTTATTTTTTATTTTTTTTAAAAAAAGCTGACGTAATACCTAAATTAAAATATTAAACTACTTTTGCATCAATTATCTTAAATTTATTTATAAAAAAAAAAAATAGTCAGTGTTGTATGGCGAAAGGTGGTTACTTTTCATGCGGTCATGACGGTGTTACCTTTTGGGCTAAGCATCAACCCACCCACTGAGTTGAGATTCATGTACTTTAAACATGTAGCTAGTGGACATGGCCATGGCCGAACAAATTTTATTATTTTCTATTAAAAAATAAATAAATAAATATTCAGTACAAACAATCATAAAATATAATTTTTTTCAATTAAAAATTTATACATTCATATATATATATATATATATCAATTATAACATACAAAATACAACATTTGAATAATAATATACGAAATCGTAGTTCAATTTGAATAAACAACAAAGAAAATAAGAGTCATTCAATTTAATAATATTTAATATAAAATTTATGTTCTTAATAATATGTTTACGCCACAATCATATAAATAATTAACTTAAAACTATTTATTTTTTGCTTAATGTAGTGAATTTATAGTACTCAACTACTAAGTTATCTGTGGGCAAAGAAAGACAAACTAAAGTGGTGAACAAGCAGACAAAGGTGAACCTCAACAGAGTCGAAGCAGCTCCTGCTAAAAAAGTTAGAGCAATAACAGCAGCAGATACATATGATTATATATAATACAAGCATAGATGGCAGATGGGTGTCTGTCTCTCCTGTCCCACCGATGCTCCAAAAGCCAAATTGTTCTCGGCTTGTTTTCTTCTCTTGTTGCGGGGGTAGGAGAATTGAGAGGGTTGGCCATTGATTAGCGCATACTAACCCACAAGCCCAAATTATGAGCAAGAACTGATTCAAGTCTGCAAATAGAAAACCCATTAATATTTTATGAGAAACAAATCCTAGATTAGATTAAACAAATCATTAGCCCTAATCTAATTTAGGACAAGAGTCCAAATGAAACACCTTAATCTCAAGTCATCCAAAAAGTTCTGAGAGACTGATCAAATCTACAACCCATCTGAATCCTTTATTCAGTTCCTCTGACCTTCAAAGGAAGACTACTACATTCATCATAAATAGTACAGGACTGATACATTTATAGACTACTAAAAATTCCCATGCCTATTTACAGGAATTGAAGCAGTTCACGGAACTTTGAAGAGCTAACAAACAAGATCTGACAACAAAATCTTGGTCACAATCACCAAAGTTTTACCAGCATGTTTCTTGGTGCATGATTCTTCTACATATAACGGGATACGACAATGACATGATGCATGAAACAACAAAACCTGAAAACCCTTCAGAGCATTACTGAAACATTGGCAGATGCAGCTTCTGGATGATAGTAAAGCATCTCGTTCCACATCATCTCCCGGATCATTTGTTCTCCCATGTTCTCGTCTATGTCCAGATCGATTGGGACTTGAGCGGGAGGATTGCACCGTGGATCATACAGTCCGGACATGTAAGGGTGTGTAAGTGCTTCGGTCACAGTGATTCTCTTGGATGGATCAAACACAAGCATCCTTCTCAACAAATCTAAGGCTAGGGGGTCAGCATGGGGGTATAGATGGGAAAAGTGTGTTCCCCTCGAGTACGGGAGTGATTTGATGAACTTCCTGGCTTTTTGATTGTCAATGAACTGAAGATCAGCTTCTTGCTGGCTTCCAAGCACATTTACGATCAGCTTAAGCTGGTTCAGGCACTCTGTTCCAGGGAAGATTGGTTTGCGGCCAAGAATCTCAGCGAAGATGCATCCTACAGACCAGACATCAATGGAGGTCCCATAATTGTCACAACATAGGAGGAGCTCAGGTGCACGATACCAACGCGTAACAACATACTCGGTCATGAACTGCTCATTTCCTCTGCTTGTCCTCGCCAGTCCAAAATCACATATCTTCAGGTCACAGTTGGCATTGACAAGAAGGTTCCCTGGCTTCAAGTCCCGGTGAAGGATGTTTGCCGAGTGAAGATATTTCAGTCCTCGTAAGAGCTAGAACATGTAACATGTTTTAGTCCAAAGCATGTGATGAAATAGAAAAAGAAAAGTGTCAGAAACACAACTAGAGCTAGTTTTATTAACACCGTATTTAGTTGGCACAGAAATATACGCACAGATAAAACCTGCTGTCTCACACTCACGGCTTTCACACATCAGAGACGCAGGCATTATCATTGGAAACACGCTCTTCAGAGTTCCAATATTTTCGTATCCCACGGTAAATTATTTTAAACTCAATTCTGACATATATTAAAATCAGTTTTGACGGCAACCAAGAAAGGTATTACTGGAGGCACAAGGCCAATTTATATAGCTCATACAGAAAGCAAAAGAATTATTGATAAAATTCCCATCCTTCGAAGTAACAGAAGGAATGATCTACATCCTGTCTAACACTCCTATGGCATAAAACAGGATTGTGAAGGAGATATATATCAACTTCAACTAAACTGTGGTCTCATAATTAATCTAGTAATGTTACAGATCCACAGAAACTTTATGACTTCCCCTACTACTAACAGTTGCAAGTCACTAATAAATGCTTATCTTTTTCAGCTGAGTTAAATGTAAAATGGGACCAGGTAAGTATCAAACTACAAATTGAATCCACCCACCTATACTGGTGGATCTAAAATGCAAGTAAAATAAAGAAACCAACCACTACCAGCAACTCAATTGATTTTTGGTTAGTCCTTAAGGCTATAAAGCTAACTCAAGATCATTGTTTTTCAAGTTCGAAGCCCCAGGAATTTACATTCAGGCGTTTAAATGACCTTTTTTTTTCCGAGACAAAGGCGCTTGACGCTGATTTTGATAAAATGCAAAGCTCAAAATTGTTTAAATATATCAACTAAAAGCTATCTAGAGCAGTTTTTTACTTTTAAAACTTTTAAAAACTAAAAACTCCTTCAGTCAACATTTTCAACAAAAACATCCCTAATAAAAGCAAACCATTACACCTTTAGATAACTTTTTAATTGAATGAATAAGTAATTATCTTTTCTGATAATTTTACCAATTTTTTAACTTTAAAATCTGATTTTATCAAAACTTTGATAACTAACTAGAGTGTAAAAGGCAGGAAAAAGAATTGATATATACAAACATTTCTTTAGCTTTAAGTATTATAAACCAAAAAGCTCATTGAAACTAAAAACTTTGTGGATTTAGAACACCCCCAAAAAAAAATTCAATCCAGGCATACTCATAGCCAACAAACTTGTATGAATAGACAGCAAAGATAAGCAGCACAGGAAAGAGCAGGTAGAAACTACCAATTATTCAAACCCAAGGTAGTGTACTTACAAGGTAATCCAAGAATTTTCCATAGGTAGCACATAGATTAGAATGCTAACAGTAAGGACTGAACTCTACTTACCAGGAAAGTTAAGCTCGGATGGTTCAAAATTCTAATATGTTTCTGGCTTTTATATGGGCATAGAATCCCAAATAATCAACTTGGACATACTGTGCTCATAATTGAAGTTCTTTACAGTCATAATTTTCAGGACTCAGCGCCAAAACTATAAATCTCTTCCAAGTGGGAATGGGGATCCTAATGCAACTATATTAGCATAAGCTAATGGATGTTAAACCTTACAAGGTAATCCCACATCATTTGCTTGACTTTCCCCGTTAAACAGAGTTCCTTACTCTTAGGAATATCATAGTAGGTGCTACTTGCGGAGAAATCTACAATATCTCTACGATATCTAGGATCTTTAGTCTTAAAAGGTAATCCACATCACTTTCCCTCTCAAGCAGAGTCCAGTCCTTACTCTTAGCAATCTATAGTAAGTGCTATTTAAGGAAAATTCCACGTTATGTCTATGTGGTATTTATGAATCTTTCAATCTTACAACATAATCCCACATCATTTGCTTAACTTTCCCTGTCAAGCAGAGTCCAGTCCTTACTCTTGGCAATCTAATAGCACATGCTACTAACAGAACATTCTATGATATGTCTCTACAATATTGAAGTATGTCCAACCTTTTAGATAATTCCACACCATTTACTTAACTTTCCCCGTCAAGCAGAGTCCAATCCTTACTCTTAACAATCTAATAATGCCATGCTACTAACAGAAAATTCTACACTATGTATCTCTGATGTTGAAGGATCTTCAACCTTACAAGATGACTCCGCATCATTTGTTTAACTTTCCCTGTTAAGCAGAGTTCAGTCCTTACCCACAGCAATCTTATCGTCAACAAAAATTACTAACATCTCGACCAAATTGTCTCCAAGGAATCTCTTTGTCAACTAGAATTATTAAAATCTCAATCCTTAATCTCAAAGAAAGAATCATTTATGTTTGATCTAATGTGTTGGATCATTGAGTCAGTATAGTAGTACCCGCTATTTATTAATAGTCACGGCATTAATATGGAATTAATACCTGCTGAAACATGGAGCAAATCAGCAGTGAAATGTATAGCTGTAAAGTAAAGCATTAAATTCTCCATATCACATAGCAAGAAAAACATAGGATAGACATTATTAACCAATGAAAACCCATCTTCAAACAAAATTAAATCATGCATAATTTTCAGCAGCAGATTTCCCAGATTGTGAATTTGAGTAACTTTATATACCTGAAATATGAAATACTTGCAATGATCATTGGATAGTGGCTGTGAGGACTTGATGATCTGATGCAAATCAGTATCCATGAGCTCATAAACCAAGTAGACATCTCTGAAACCAGCCCTGTCAGTGGGCATCATCACGTCCTTGAGCGCAATCACATTCTCATGCCGGATGTTCCTCAACAGTTTCAACTCCCTCAGCGTCCGCAGCGCATCAATCCGATTCTCGAACACGTTGTTGATCTTCTTTATAGCCACTTTCTCGTTGGTCTCCCTGTTGATGGAGGAGCAAACGACGCCGTACGCCCCTCGACCTATCGGCTTGATGGGCACGTATTTGGTGTCAATCTCGAACAAAGTCTGCCACATGGAGTAGTAATGCTTCCCCTGTGGCCTTACCCCATTTGGCGGCTCCACCATCGTCGCCATTTCTCTACAAATTAACATCGCATTACGGGGTTTTGAAATCATGAATGTGTGATAATTTTGCAGAGTCACACCCCAAAAGGAGGATAACTATAGAGTATATGTATATATGAACAGTACCACATACGAAACTTTTATTTTAAAAGAGATAAAAGAAGGAATCAGAATCGATATTTACTTGCCGCTTCTACTTCTCTGGTCGGATCTTCTGCGATCAACTTCAAATTAAAAATTCCTCCTTTTCTTCTTCTTCCTCCCAGTTCACTACTTATTGCACACGATTAAAGCGTTACTTTCGGCACCTTTTTCACGCTGAATTCTTCGAATTGGAGCAATTAAAGAGAAGTCAAAAACCCCTAATTGACCCGAAAAGAAAGCAGGAGAATTTTCTTCAATCTGCACTCCAACAACAACGATATCTCTGTCATGCTTTTGACTCCTGTGGATCTAGAGAAAGCTCTCATCATCATCCACATCCATCCATGTGGATTTTAGGTATAAATCATCTCGTTAAAGATGCTGATGTGATCGCTTAGAACACTCAACAGTGCGATTCGTTGTCTCGTCGAGATCAAAGTTCAGAGAGCGAGAGAGAGAGAGAGAGAGTAAGAGAAATTAATATAAACGACGGATGAGAGTGGGAGAACATGGGCAATTTCTTGTTCGGGCAAGGAGAAACGACAGCTATGTTTGTTGTACTATTTGGATTGCTTTGAAAATCAATTATTTGGGAAATTTTAAGAAATATCAGTTGGGTTTTTACTGCTCAAGAACACATACAAAGAGTATATATATATATTATATATAGATTTTTACAGAGTTTATAGCGCCGCCAACTGGAGCATGGCTTTACTCTTTGCCGCGCCAAGCTCCTCCAATATATCAGGATAAGATCGGGAGTCTATTAATGGAAATTTCCTATATCTTTAAAGGATTATTATCTTAAAGACTACGCTAAAAATATTGTTGCGAATAATCTTTATATATTTGTATGCCTTTATTATCCTCTCTTTCTCTCTCTAATTTACTTATCTAATTATTGCTTGCAGACTCTATTTTTATCACTATTTATGTGTACATATGCATATTCTTCTTTTATAAGCACATGTATATATTTTATATAAATATAATAAAATATTGATATCGAGCTCATATCTTGTTTATTTTACTATTAAATATCAAATATGTCATAACAACTCACACTCTCACGTAAGATAAAATGATCCGTTTATATTTTCTTAAATGAGATAAAGAGATTTATCTCTTAAATCGATTAATAATTAATATTAAAATTTTTTTTAAAAATATATAAAAAAAGTAATAACAGTTTCTTTTATTGAGAATTATAAAAATAATTGAGTTCTTAGTTTTATATATAATATCGACATTCATTTTTAAATATATACTAAAGTTTATATAGTTATAAAAAATTTTAAGTTTATTTAGATAAAAGGATAAAAAAATTTATAATTAAAATTAATTATCTATATGTCAAATATTTACTACATAATCGATAAAAGAATTACTTATAGAATCTACATATTCAAGAGTTTAAGTTAAAATTATTTTTTATATTAAATTATAATATTCAAATCTTATACGTACAAAGATAAAGACAATATTTATATCAATTACTCAGTATATTATATTTATCATATTTTTGATAAGTCTCACAAATTTTATAGAACATATGCATTTTTCCTTTACCTTGGTTACTATAATATAATTTATGTTGATAATAGACTTTCTTTTACTAATATTTTTTTTTGTTATATAAAAAAGAATAATAAATATTTATTAAAATAATACTAAAATATAATAAAAATTACTACCTTGGATACAGTTTAAATTATTACTAAATCTCACATCTCAGAGTTATATCCGCTATCTTAATTAATATACCAACTCCGGACACTAACAAATTTATAAAATAAAATTTATAAATTATTGATGACACAAAAATTATATATAATAATATAAATTTATGTACGGCAGTCAGCTTGAGGCTTGGACAACGTGGGAACCGGCTTGAAAAAGTAAAAAGTAAAAAGTGAAAAATAAGTTATAAATTATAATATAAATAAGTATTTATTTATACAAAAAGTAAAGGTAAAATTATTACAGAGAAGAAGGGGCTTGAAAACGTGAAAGTAAAAAAAAAAAAAAAAAAAAAAAGGGTAATATAAAATAATTGACAGACACGGCAGGCTTGTTCGTAGCAAAGTGCCTTTGCTTCACCATGAATGCATTTCAGCCTACGGAACGTCTTTTAGCCACTAAAAGCTAACGGCAACGGCGTCATCTGCCACGTGGAAGGCTCGGAGGAGAGGAGAGCCGGCTGGCAGGTGGCTTGCACTGATCATGTGGGACCCAATTTTTATCAATCAAAACCAACGGTCATAATGGTAGGATTCAAATTTATGGGGCGTCAAAAGTCAACTTTCTTTTTTGTATTTTCATCTGATTTCTCACTTCGGTGGTTACTAGTTAAGGCCTAATTTTATGGTGGCAAAATTAATTTTTATTATTTTATATAATTAATGGTACTAGAATTCTATTTAACAATTTAATGAAAAATATGAACTAATCAATAAAATTTATAAAGTTATATTTTTTATAAAATAAAAATGGGATTCCATATTGGCCTTTTTCTATTTTACCATATAAATTTGTTTGAAATTATAATGTCAATATTTAACGGTCCCCGAAATTAAAAGAAAACGCATATATGAAATTCTAAGTGCAGAAACGAAATAAAATATTATGATTAACATCTTTTACACAATAACTAAAACGTATTAAACGTATGAAAGAATAAGCTAACTAAAGTGAATATTAGAAATGAATACTATAAGGAAAACTATAAAATCTTTAGGCATCTACTCGCTGTCTTCCTGCAGAACGGGCTCGGAAACTAAGTCCTCCTAATATGAAATGGTTAAGTAAGGAATGAGCTACACTAGCCCAGTAAAGAATGTCACATTATTTCACTGTCACAAAAGTAAAGATTCGTAGAAAACAAAAACGACTAATTGAGCATAATTTATAACAAATTCATTTATCAATAATAAAACCCTTTACTGTCCACTTAACTCGGTGAGATTCATGAAAATAACTTATGAAAATAATAACATTATAACATCATGAAATCATACGCACTCTATAATATAACACATGTCATATTTTTAGTATTTCAATCATCAAGTAATAAATTTCCTCTTCCACCAGCCTACCAGTATCCATGGGGATCCATAGGGGTTCCCGCTACATGTGAACTATTCATTTTAACAACTTAATTCCATGACCGTCCCCATACCCCGTCCGGTATGGGCGCCAAAAAATAAACCTCAATACCCCATCTGGTATGAGGGTGAAGCGGGCCGTCCCCATACCCCGTCTGGTATGAGGGTGAAGCGGGCCGTCCCCATACCCCGTCCGGTATGAGCGCCAAAATATTTAAAGTCTCCATACCCCGTCCGGTATGAGAGACAACGTTCTTGGTAGGGTCCCCTATGGACCCGGTCCGTCCACCATCTCATAGGATATCTAGTGAGGCTATTAATCTATCCATTTATCAACTCAATCCCATTCCTATTTGTTCTTAGTCTCAATTACCAAATCAAACATGAATACGTAAACCAGTAACGAACACCAAACCAAGCAAATATAACATCGGGTTCACAATAATCAAAACATAATAAATTAAACAGTGAATCATGCATACGAAGCCACATAATAAACAAATCAGATACTACACTGCATTTAGACTGTAAAATAAATGAAACAGGAACTGACCGAAAAATATATCAGATTCGGACTCCATTAACAACCTTAATTAATTATACATATCCATGAATTCATAAAATACTGTTTTATCATTTTTTAGACTTCAATACCGTGGTAGGAAATAGGGTAAGATATCATTACTTGATTCGAAGTCTAAAATCGATTTTTTTTACTGTGCCTACGGATAGTCCCTATATTCCCTGAATTTTTTCTCGGGAACTAAAACACATTTCCGGTACCTGCACATGTCTCCAAAAAACTCCAAATCAGACCCAGGGCCTCCTTGGCCAATTCTAGAATTCCGACACGGCGGTTCCGCCGTGTTCCGGCGACGGTGATCCGCTTCGAGTTGGTCATTTCCGGTCGTTTTCGGTTGAATTTGGCCAAACTTGCATTGGTTCCTGTGATAAAACACACATAAGGCCCTCGGTGGGCCGAAAAAACTCAAAAAATCGAGACTTACCGGCGGCGGAGCTTTCGAGTGCGGCGGCTCCTCCGGCGCGAGTCGTGATTTGGTGTTTTGCTCCGGTCAACCTGTAGAGGAAAGGATGGTGGTCACAGTGGTATAAAAATTACATTGAACGAGAATCGAAAAGGGCCCCATCGGAGGCAAAAACTGAAAAAACCTGCGACGGTGCTGCTGGGCTTCGGCGGCATTTTCTGGCCAATTGGCCAGGGGATTGGCTCTGATTTGGTCACAGGGGGGTTTAGCATCAAAATCTGAGCTAAGAAGAGAAATTTTACCTCGTTTGGCGGCCGAAAAATGCTCCGATGCTTCGGCGGTTGGCAGCGGTCGGTTCCTCCGGTGGTTGGGTTGTCTTCTCCGGCGAGGACTCTGGCAGCTAGGGTTTGGGGTTGGGTGTGGATGAGATTATTTATAACATTCCCCTTTTAATCTAAGCCGTCCATCACGATTTAATCTGGACCGTCCGATCGCGATTAAATTATAAATGAATATGGATCGTCCATCGCGATGCGATCTGGGTCGTTCGTGCATGATTTAATCTGAGCCGTCTGCACGCTTGCAATCTGGGCCGTCCTCGTGCGCGTTTGATCTGGGTCGTCTGTGCAAGCGAAAACGGATCTCAGCCGTCCGATCGCGCGCAGCGGATCGCCCACGTGGCCCGTTCCGCGTGGCCTTCTTGCGTCAGCGTCTCTGCCACGGGGCGTGTCCTGGTTGGCAGGAGCCGCTGACCGGGCTATTGACGTGGCTGCTGACGTGGCACAATTTTTCTAAATTGTGTTTTAACCTCCTGTTTCCGATTTTTTTTTCAGAAACACCCACAGAATCCGAATTTTCACCCATTTTTTCCAAAATTATTTTCAATTAAACCCTAAAAATAATTTTACCCATTTTTATCATTATTATTATTTTTATTTCTATTAAATTAAATTAAACTAAATTAAAACAATTATATTATTACTTAAATAAATCAATTAAAAAATTAAAATAAATCAAAATTATAATAATTCTAATAATAAAAATAATAATTAAAATTAGGGTGTTACACAATATTATTGAATTTTTAATGACATAACATAAAGTAGACAATTCTATTTGTTATGTGATTTTATCATAAGTTTATATTTTTATTAAATAAATAAATTTTTATCTGTTAAGTATATAATGTTAAAAGATTCAGACTCATTAAGTTTAATGATAAAAGAGAAAAAGAATACTCGAATTCACGAATGAGAAATAAGCAGGTTACACTGTTTTGATAGGAACATGTATGTAACAGTCCATATAAGTAAGGGAGGGTAGGACGGACGGCTAGGATGGGTCGGGCTTGATCAACAGATAGGGCACGAGTTTGGGTTGGGTATAAAAGGGCATCGAGTAGAGAAAGGAAAAGGAAAAAAAAAGGAAAGAAAGAAAATAAAAGAGAAAAGAGAGGGAAGAAGGGGAGGAAGAACGAGAGGAGTGGGCGAGGTGACTGAATTGGCTAAGGA